TCTCCTGCTCTCCTCCTCTCCCCTCTACTTTCCTGTTTTCCTCCCCCCCTCTCTCCTGCTCTCCTCCTCTCCCCTCTACTTTCCTGTTCCCCCCCTCTCTCCTGCTCTCCTCCTCTCCCCTCCTGTTTTCCTCCCCTCCTCTACCCTGCTCTCCTCCTCTCCCCTCTTCCTTATTCCTCCCCTCCCCTCTGCTGCTCTCCTCTCCTATACACGTTCCTGTCGTTGCCTCCTCTCTTCTTTCTCCTCATCAGCTCTTTGGTACATCCCATACTACTGACAATGTTTCTGGCAGTAGATGTTCCTGTTTTGCAGTGAACTGATGTAAGAAATGAATTGAACTGTTCTGGAACTTTAAAGAGGCTCCTGGCTTATGTCGGACATGAACAGTTGTCATTGTATGTCCTTGTGATTCTTTTACCTGCTGTCATTTGACAGTCCCCCAGGCTCACAGTGATGTCATCGATGGCAGCCAGGCCACATTCCCAGAAGTTCTTACATATGCTGACAAACACTACCTGGGAAACAGAGACAAAGACTGAATACTGCTATTCAACCATTTACCCAATTATTACTTTTGTCCATCCATCCATCAATCCATCCATCTGTCCATCATCCATCCATCCATCCAAATTAATCCATCCATCCATCCACAGATATCCATCCATCCATCTGTCCATCCATATCCATATAAATCCATCCATCCAAATGAATTGATCCATCCATCCATATCCAGCCATCCATCTGTCCATCCAAATTAATCTATCCATCTGTCGATCCATCCATCCATATTCATTTGTTCGTCCATCCATCCATCCATCCATCAATATCATCCACCCATCCATCTGTCCATCCCTTCATCCATCTGTCTATCCATCTATCCATCCCTCCATCCATATTCATTGATCCATCCATCCATTAATATCATCCATCCGTATTCATCTGTTCGTCCATCCATCCTTCTATATCCATACATTTATCCATCAATCCTTCCCTATTCATCCATCCATCCTTCCATACTCATCCATTTATTCATATCCTTATCAATCCATCCATCTGTCCATCCAAATCAATCGATCCATCTATCGATCCATCCATCCATATCCATATCCATATCCATCACCCATCTAATGCTTCACACCTTGGAGAGCATTGGCTTCATGTAGGTGATCTCCACCTCAGTCCATACAGCTCTGGAAGTGTCAGTCAAGCTCCACACCTTCTCCTGGGCAACATTGTTCTCATCATAAATGTAGAGAAACAGAGCATTGTCTAGTTTCCTAAAGCCATGCAGCAGGTAGTAGAACCTCAGGCAGTATTTGTGGTTCCCTGGTAACAATGGACCATGAAGCCGACCCACATAGCCGGGCTGCGAGGTGAAACGAGTGTTTGCCAGGAGGAAACAGCCTAAGAGAGATGAGAGAAACAAACAACAAAGGTGGTAGTGTTCGTTTGACAACGTGCAAAGTAAAACAACCTGTCCATCATGAGGCAGAAAGTGAGGAAACCAACTGTCTTGCCTAGTGCGCAACCCCAGGGTCTTAAAAGGGAAGTCAGTGGCAAAATGTCTTTAACTTGCTTTCTTTTTGATGGCCATCAGGAGGCGACTCCTCTGGTTGTATAGAAGTCTATGAGAAAATGACTCTACTTCTCTCTTGATTTATTACCTCAGTAAACATTGTAAACATGAGTTTATGGTCTCAATCTCTAGTTTCAAGTCTTCTTCAATACAGCATGATGTTCATTTAGTACATTATGGTCCATTTAGAGTCAAACAGACCATAAAGCAGGGGATGCTTGAGGGCGGGGCTAAATTGTGATTGACAGGTCACTACCACAGCGTTGTCCTGTCGGGGAGTTTTTGTTTTACATCAATGTGTTTTCTAGGGATGTCTTTGACCAAAGAAATGCTGAGTCAACAAACACTCATTTGAGCTTGTCGACGATTAAGTCGAGGACTTCGCTGTCAGCTTGTTTTTCAGAGATTTGCTGATTTGTTTCTTGGGAATAAGTCATTCAGCGGGTGTGCAGTGTGACTCACCTGTTCCTGTGGTATGGTCTCCTATCCTGTAGGCATTAGGCTTCACTGAAACTCTGCTCCACACCTTACTCTCTGTCCTCTCCTGATAGTACAGACACAGCCCATTCTCAAAGTCACAGCTGGCTATGGAGGGGTCAACGGTGGGCTCTGGGACACAAAACGCACTATCTTTAATAACAGAGGTCAGGGATATGAAAAGTGTGCATGGATGTGATAGTATAACACCGTGGAAAAAGACATGAAGATGTACATGGACATTCATCGTAGTGTCTCCGGTCACTGCTGTATTTGAAAAATGATTTTGCAGTTCGATGATTGGTGATTAATGAACATCGTGAGTGTAAAGGACGCTCATCCCCCTTCTCCCCCCGTCTAATCAACCATCTCCATTTATCAAACAGAACATAGAGTGCCCACAATCAAAGCGTTTGAATCAAATTGTTTGCATTGACCCTTGTGCGGCTGAAGTCTGTGCGTTAATATGACAACATTTAGGCCACGTCCACACTACTCCGTTTCCATTTGAAAACACATGTTTTGCTACGTTTACACTGAGCGTCCACACTACGCCGGCGTTTTCGAGCGCCAAAAAACGGAGGAGTTTGAAAACGCCGGGGTTGCATATTCGTGTGGACGGTCGAAAACGGAGAAGTTTGGAAACGATGACGCCCACACCCACGTTCGCTACTTGATTGGTTCTTAGCAGTCATGACGTGTCCTTCCCTGATTCGACACACCCCTATCACGTGACCGATTCCCGGAAATCAAACAACAACATTGATTACCGATCGACTACCAGGTTAATTTAACATGGACAACTGATTACAGGTGGTGCTGACCTTGTTGTCTTTACTAGCAGCTGTTGTCCAGTTAAAGTCTGCATTATTACAGAGGAAGCAGCTGTTAGTGGAGCGGTTAGTGAGCGGCGTGTCCAGCGGCGTTATCAGCCCTACGGAGCGACCTTCAGGGAGGGTGATGGACACAAAACGGAGTACTTTCCTTTTCTTATTAATGCTTATTTTGTTCTGCACATCTATTGTGAAGTCCGCAGATAAAATGTGAAGGAACAAAACAGTAATGGCAATTTGTCAATGGCAACAACCACCACCAAAAGTTTTTTTGTGCAAGTGGGAAGGTTTTTTTTATTCTTCCTTTTCCATACAGCTGTTCTAATGTGATACTTCAAAATGTGCATCAAATTAAGTTAAAGAAATTGCCTCAATGGAAACACTGCTCATGCCTCTTTCCTTTGCCCCCTCCTCTCCCTTCTTTTTCATCTCATATTTCGTCCCGGGGTCTCGGCCGGCATGCGGAACAGTCTGTGATTGTGGTCAACCTTTACCCCCCTAAATCACCTGTGTCAGTGTGGCAGAATTCAGGAGAAAAGGAGATGTCATCTATGGCCACGTATCCACCTCTGGCACTGTTGAAGGCCACCTCAAACACCACCTGGTAACACACAGGCATAAACAGTAACCATTAACAGATGGGCAACGAGCAATGTATGACTTAGGCTCTAATTCATGCATCTACCCGTCTAAGTCTTAGACTCATTAATCCCGAGAACATCCGTTGTGAATTGTTGCAAAGGCATGTTGTGGGAGCGTGACAAATACTGATATATAAGACAGCTGTAGAAGCCAGACAGTGACATCAGTGTAGAGTTAAATTCAGAAACATGGGTTAGTCAGCGGAGTGCTGCTTGATGGAAAAGCTCTGTACGACTCTTGGCTCGATTGGACTGGGGAACTGACCCATTTAGTAATGGTATGCAAGCTTCTTTCCACAGCCACAGCAGCAGGCTGTGAGAGGCGTTCTGGCTGAAAGCACAGGGAAAGGAAACCGTGGAGTCAAAGAGAACACCCATTTGACAGTGCAGTGGAAAGCCACAGAGAGCTTCCATCCACTCAGCTGCACACACAAGAATGAGACAGTATGGTATTAGTTTTTCTTTCGTAATATTCAGAAAAATATGATCTTTCTGCAGTGTAAGAAAGACACAATAGGCTCACAGCAATATCTGCCTATACAGCATTGGACATGTCTGAAAAACACACTGGACTAATAAACACTTGAAATAAGTTACAAATAAAATGAGTTTGCAGCAACTATCTCTCACAAACCTACTTAGCAGAAACACACTTCTGAAAGCTGAGACTAAATATGGTGTAAAACATATGCCAAATATGTAGATAATAAAATCAGATTTCCATACCGGATCGGTCGAGGCTGTGTTTACAAACTAGATGGAAATAGATGATCTGCAGTGGCGACCCCTAAGGGAGCAGCCACACTGAAAGAACAAGTCGAAGCGCCTTGGTCACAGCGCAGGTCACATTATTGCTAGTTCCTGGGATTGATTCCAGCCTTTACTTGCTGCATGTCATATCCCTCTCCACTCTGCCTCTACTCTGTCATAAAAAGGCATAATTGCCCCCCAAAAAATCTTCTCTGCCACCCTGTGGAATAGGCATTAGGGTTAGGTGCATTTGCCGGGCTGCAGGCAAAGGCTAGGACTTAGGCATACTGACCCCCAGCATCGCTGGCTGGTTCTAGCGACGCATAACCAGACACATAACCAGACACATAACTAGAGCTTGTGCGGGAAGTGGAGCTGGGCTGGTCTCTCCTTTTCAGAAGTTGCCCAGGGTGAGAGACAAAGGGTAGGTGTGGGAACACATGGAAGCCCGGCTGAGCGTCACTGTGATGGAAGTCTCTGCGATAACAAGAGGGTTGTCTACAAGTTGCTGAAACAAAGGCTCTGAAAGCTGGCTGTGCCTCTGCACCGAACAGCAGTTTGGAGGATCCAGCCTTCTTCTAGTCTCTGGGCGCGGTCCTGAAAAGGATACTGCTTACAGACTCTATAGTTTGGCTGGATGACTTCAGCGCTTACGTCTCACATGAGCAACGACCGAGAAACCTGAGGGTTTGATTGGGAGGATTGGCCTGTCCAATCTAAACTCGACTGGTGCTATGTTATTGTACTTCTGTGTTAGTCATGGATGGATCATAACACACATGTTTGAGCGTAGGGGGATTCACTAGTGTACTTGGTACCAGAACACCAAAGAACGAATATGGACTTTGTGGTCAAATTATCAGATGTGCGGGCATTTCTCTGAGAGGAGCAGAGCTGTCAAATGATCACCACCTGGTGGAGAGTTGGATCATATGGCAGGGGAGGCTGCTTGACAGACCTGGTAAACCCAAAGGTGAACTGGGAACATCTCGCCAATGTCTTGTACTCTCTCATGCATTCTGGGGGAGGGTGGGCCATGTTCAAATATTCGGCTACTAGGAGTTGTGGTCAGAAGGTTGTTGGTGACTGTTGTGGGGACAAACTAAAAACCAAAGAAGGCCGTCAAGCTGAAGAAGTAGGCATTTTGGGCTTGGTTGGTCCAGGGATATCCTGAAGCAGCAGACAAGTACTGGGGGGCCAGAGGGGTTGTGGCTGCGGTGGTCATCAAAGCAAAAACCTGAATGAAGGAAGAGTTCGGTGAGGCTATGGAGAGGCTATCGGTTGGCCTCAAGGAAGGAAACACAGTTTTTCATGATGGTGAAACACCTGCAGCAAACTGTTGTGATTTTCCATTTGCAGCAAAAAGCACTTTACAGGTTTCATTGAACCGTACTGTGTTATGTTTATAGTTATTGAATCAAAAAGTTGTCATGCTGAAAGCTTGCAAGAGAAAAGCAGCAGACAAGATACATAACTCCTGTTTGGGTGGTGTATTTGCAGAATGTGTGGTCTCAGTCTGTACTTGCATATACATCTGAATCAACACTGGACTGTGCGGGGCCACGGAAAAAAAGAATCAGTAGTGATTCCCAACAGTGGAGTTTTTCAGCTGCTGCAGTCTGACAAACTCCTCCACATTCAAAAGGACAACACAGAAAGGCTGAGCATGAGCTTTTCTCCGCAGGCCATAAGGATCATCTATGTGGAGGCTGCTAGGGGTCAGGACAATGATCTCTGCTGACTACTGCAAAATTGGTCAAAATCTGTGCAGCAGAGGCTGAGATATCCTGGCTGTGAGAAGTATGGGTCAAGCTCAAACAACACCAACATGGATCCTACATTTCCCATGATGCAACTTGATTGCATCATGGGATTGGTTCACAAGTAGCCAGTTTACAAGCTAATTTGAAACCAATATAAAGCAAATGCATTGTCAGGCGATAGCCGTTGGGTTCCCAGATTGTGTTTTGGCCAATGCCTTCTCCCTCTTTGCTCTCCACACGGACCGCTAATCTGCATTCAACTACATTCCTGTTTCCTACTACTTGGAAAGCAAACAGAAACCAGAAAGCTTCAGCTACCAAAATGTTGTCTTGTTGCCATCAGACTCTGCATATGAATGCAGCATCTCTTTATAGAGTACAGAAGTCATTATACTTTATATGCATTGGTTAGACCATTTCACAACATACATTTTGACCTGAAAAACACAATTATAGTCTACTGACTATAATTGTGAATGCTAGCTCCAGTACTGACCTCCAGCGGGTGTGGTGCCTTGATATCAACGCTGACTTGAGTCCAGCCACTGGTAGCATACACCCCTGGCCTCCAGATCTCCTCATAGTGGCCCAGCTGGTCTCTGGTGAAAACTGAAAAGATGTTTCCCCTCTCTTGGTCTCTGGTGTAGTAGAAGGACAGGCAGCCGGCTATGGGAACCGTGGTCATGGGTGAGGTCAGCTTGGCTACTTCCTGGAAGTGCTTGGCGTACACAGAGTCCACATACATGTAGTGGCCTGGAGCAGTGGAAGATATAGATGAGCAGAACGTTATGGGCTGATACAGTCACATTTATAGGATGTGTGTGGTTTTACAAGTAGCAACAACATATTAACTAATGGATTGTTACTCTGGCTCATGTTTAGTGAGTCATACACACCCCCATCAGTGTTTGGAGATTAAACAGATGTTTTGCATTGACTATGTCATTGTTTTTAAAGACATAAAGCAGGGATGGATAACCACAAGGTCAAAACCTGCAAGTCTTCATCCAAACAATAGAGCAGTTCATTTCATTGGCCAGCACGCCTTCCTGATTACAGATTCTGTCTCCAGGACCATAAATCCATGTTAACTACAGAGCCTTTATATGCAGCTGGATCCTGGATGTTTCAAACTGGTAGACCATGAACTGTTAGAATATTTTGTTATCCACATAGATTTTGTCGTGATTTGGAGTTTTTTTAACAGGATTTTGCCTCATTTAAGTTTAACATTATTTAAATGCAGCAGAAAGTGCATCTGCAACTGGCCTCATCAACCCCCACTGACACGGACCCTTACCCCCTCCCATAGACGCTACAGTAATGCCTTCACATCTGTCTATCAGCACACCTTTGAGACTATCTCACTGTAGAGTGCATAACCTTTATATACTTCATACTGTGAGACCTTCGCCCATTCCTTGGACAATTTTACAGATTTCTGCACAAAACTACCACTTCTAAAAACTGCACAGCTCTTTCATTTTAAATCACATATATTGTACGTATTTTTCATAGGATATTTTTTCATATTATTATTGCATTTTTCTTCTGTTATATATTTATGTTTCTTGACTTTTGTAATACTTGCTTATTTTTATTTTATTTTAAATTTTCTTATTATGTTTATGTTATGCACCAATACACCAAAACAAATTCCTTGTACCTGACAACCTGCTTGGGAATAAACCTGATTCTGAAGTGATTTACAGAGTAATGAAGTTAACAAAGAAAACACAACAGTAATTAAATCCATTGCTGAAAGCACTTGGTTTGATAAGAAATGAAGATGAGGCATGTTACGGAGAAGTCCTCAATGTCAACACAAGTCAAATATTACAAAAAAAACATGCACAGTTCCAGAAACATATTTCTGTTCTTTTATCTTAAACATCTCTTAGCTTTGGCCATGATGCAAACCTGCTTCACTACACCAACTTGGCGAATGGCGCCACCTTTTCATGATTCGTGACATTTGATCGTCAGCACAGCTGATGAAACCAAAGAATACGCTTGATTAAAAAGTAGTAGGTGTTACACTGCCAGGTGTTATAATGAAGATTGTTCACGAGGACTTTTTGAGTTGTTGATAAATATGTTTGCTAGGGAATCTCTTCATTAGCTCCTTCAGAAATCAAGCCATGCAGGTAAACTGTTATGATGCAGCAACACGCCCAAAGCATCGCTTCAAAACTGTTCCTTTATTTCCTCATATCATGAGCAGAATGAACACTGTGGTCGCCCGGTCTGTCAGATGCAGCAGTCAGATCTCAGTACTGTCCAGCATACTGCACAATAATAACCAGTTGGGAGTTGCAGACGTAAACAGCTAACCACACCGGTGACAAAAGGAAGCTGTATATTTAGCCATATTTTGGCAGAAATATGTGTTTGGAGAGTTTGGGACACACTGATCATAGAAAACGACGTGATGCAGAATGTGTTTGAAAGGTTTCTATAGACATATTTCTATAGAAACTTTGAAGCTTTTGGAATCCATTGAAAGTTATGGATGCAGGTTATGACTGTTACTATATATACATATATATATATATATATATATATATATACACACACACGCATACATACCAACTGTGCTGGTGCAATAAACCTGCTCATGAACAGTTCTTGATGTGCATGAATGTGCCATGTATGTGTTTGTGTACAACTCACACAGCTATCTTTGTGAGGACCAATTGGAGTTTTAGACCTTCAGAGAGGACATTTTTGGACAGTTCGGGCATTTTGGGCGGTCAAAGGCCCGTTGGAAAATTTTGGATTAGAATCAGATTTAGGTAAGGAAAAGGGTTGGTGTCAGTTGCGTTGGTTAAAGGGTTAGGGCAGTGGTTCTCACTACTGTGGGGCGCGCCCCTCTAGTGGGGCGCGGCGGTATTGCAGGTGGGGCACAGGGGGAAATGCAGAATTTTTTTCATACCTGCAAACTTGTCGCTTTTCGGCGAAATCCGCCGTTTTGAATCAAAATATATCATCCACGTGAATCGTGTAGATCCGTAGAGGGTTTTTTTGGGGGGGGGGGGGGCGGTCAACTGGCCAGCCAGCGTTTCTCAGATTGGCGTGAGACGAGGAGAAAAGGTGATGTCGTGTCATGATCTTCACAATAAAACATCTCTGATGTGACGTGTCGAGTCTTGGCCAATCAGCGTTAAGATGTCTACACCGTCTTTCCCTCCGTTACAGTTTAAGTTACGTTATGTCCCGTTACCGTTCAGACTTGCTGGGTTAAGTTAACATCCACTGCATGCGGAACTTCGTGGACTGTTAACGTTCGTCATTATCATGATTTAGGAGGAAAAAACGTAACGTGATGAAACATGAACACTGTAAACCCGAATTGATTTCAAATTAAACTTTTGAGTAGTCATTACTTATACTTGCGTGTTTTGTAAAACAACTGTGTCATTACAAAATCTATTTAGTAGTTTGCACTAATCAACTGAAATATTGAGTGCAATGATCATGTTTAGCAGAGATAACTTGGGAGGTTACGTTTCTGTAAGGGGGGGGAGGGGCCCGTTTGAATTTCACTCGATTAAGCATTAGTGCCGTGTGCAGCGCAGTGACGAGCCCAGAGGAGTCTGCTCATCCAGAGTCCGACCGCGAAACCTATCCTGGCTTTGACGGAGCTGCGGGATTTCTGCAACAACTTTGAACCAAGTGGAATGGTGAGTGTGTACTCTCACCATATTGACTGTAGCGTTAGATATCATTCTGGGAGCATTTATTTCAACAAGTAAGCTAAACGCTAACGTTAGCTGAGTGTTAGCATGCTAACGATTTTCTGTGGGTCCAGTTTATAACTTTAACACGTGTTTGCATGTGCTGTGTTTTAAGCTAGCTGACAATAACGTTACGTTAGCTTTTCAAAATGGTGTTTGGTTAGGTTGCGCAGGAGTTATTTATTGCATTTATAGCAGTAACTTAGCTCGCTTCTCAAGGCACGAGGTCATTAGTTGGTTATTAGCAGAGGCTGGGTAACGTTTTGCAGTGGAGTTAATGTTACTGGAACTGGGTTGTTGAACTGAAAGTTGAGCCAATAGTTTTCTTCTTGTTTTCACAGGTTCTTGTGAAGATGCAATGGAAGTGTACATATTGTGAGTTCATAAGTCGGCTCAGGTCGCCCCCGGATCGCGCACCGTCAAACAGCGGACTCGCTGCGGACACCGGGGTATCCGCACATCAAACGCGTCTTTTTCCCCCGTTCAAATACTGTAGGCAGGTAACAGGCAGCCTACCATTAGGACCCAGGCAACAGGGGGCATACAATACAATGGGGTGGGAGGTTCACCTTTCCTCCTGAACTCAGACAAACCTGAGAGAGCAGCTGATCTACCTCGAGGCCAGCCTTTGTTTGGTAAGTTCTCTTTCCTTTTTTAAATATGTTTAAAAGCATGATTTTAAGAGTGAAATTGTAGAAAAAACATTCTGTAAAGTGTTAACAGTACTTTTTTGATCCATTTTAGATTTCCTCCCTGGCAACCATCAGAGGACATGACACAAAACGGGTTACATGGAACATCTTGACCGCATGTTCAACGATGATGTTGGGAAGAGAATGAACTGGAAAGGGATACATGGGAAAAAGTCCTTAAGCCAGATGGAGTCCAAGACTTTGCTCCTGGTAAGTAACTGTAATATTTAATGAAAACAATTTGAAGTCACCCAGAGGTCTTAGGTTGTGGTCAAACTTACAAATTCTCTTTGCAACTTCAACTTCATTCTCTGCTCAGGTAGATATTACTCGACTATATCTTTACATAATAGTTATATGATATATTAGCTCTGAATATAGCATAGCAAACCTTTACATGCCAGACAGCCACTAGCTTTTAGACTGCATGTCTGCTATATGTTGCACTGAGGGTTCATGGGATTTTGTATGATCTGCTTGTGATTACAGATGCTGTCGAAAGAATCATGTCTCACGTGCTGCCACAGATGATGAGATTATGAAACAGCAATGAGGTTCAACCTGGCAGCAGACAGGGGAAGCTCCAGGAGGCGTGCCACAGTCAGCATCCCTACTGAACAAGCCTAAACATGTATGTGTTATACATGTGATACATGCGATGTTTTAAAATCCTGTTTTTGATACTATTCATTGCAGAGTTTGCTATCTGTTTAGGTCTTATATGCAGAGACACCTCAACTGTGGAGTCTGCTAGCCCCTCCAAACCAAGCCTCACATGGTTTTAATCCCCCTTTGTCACCAAAGACTCTCTGGAAATGTTTAACTTCTAAGATACTTATTTTGAATTATGTTATAAGTTTGTTGAATGAGGAGTAGGAATGTTCCACCACTTGTGTTTTACAGTGTATGCTCAGGACTGCATATTGGTGTTCAGTTGTTTCGATATGTTTAACCCAGTTCCTCTGTCCTTATCCAGTCAAGTTGAAATGTCTGCATGTGAATAGTCATTCACAAGGCACCGTTACTGTGTAATGCTGCATTTCTTCTCTCGACAAGTTGGAATTTCTTTCAGTTTTAACAGTTACAATGCAATGTTTTGAAAAAATAAAACACATTGGAACATTAAAATGTATTGTTTAATTTCGTTCCTTCTGTACAATTTTCTTGAAACAATACATTAAATCTCAAAATCAAATGGTATAATTAATTTAATTAAAAGTAAAGACATTACTTAAATAAACTAATGGTCTTAAGTAGCAATAAATAATGTTATATTAGTGATTTGTTTATATATGCTTATGTATGTTGAACTTAAAATAGTTATTTCATTAAACTTGCACTAAAGAAAAGAAATAATTCAAGTGAACTAATGATTTTTAGTAAAGATTACTAATGTGGACTTAAATTTGTCTACTGCATTCATTAAGGTTCTATGTTAACACAACTTGATCTGTTTAGTTCCTCCATTTGTAAAAACTTAAATGGTTTGAGGCAACGGGTTTCCACGCGGTTTTCTAGTAAAGTCAACTAGTTCGGGCTAACAGTGAAGCCCCCCCGTGTTCCGGTTGAGTTCACGCGGTCACTCGTTAACGTTAAACCAGAACACCGGCGGATCTGGTTGCAGGTTGTTTGTTTTAACTCAAAGTAGAATGAGGATGATTTCGTGGTCAGAATAACTTTCATGACCACGAAACATAAGGCCCAGATACTGATGAGATGATGAGGTCAAAGAGCTTCAGGAAGAGGAGCCTTGTTGTGTAGCGCAGCTTGACGCAGGGCTGAGCTATGAAGGAGCTGGGCCTGGATAAAGGTGGAGGTCTAAACAGACGTGAGTACAGCTTCCTGCTGTCACAGTGTTTTAAATACATTGATAAGGCAGGCTATGCTACATGTAGCCTCTGCTCCAAGGAGATGAAGTACAGCAACAAGGGCTCACATGTCCTCTCATCACACTGTTCACTGTGATGACCACAGCCAGTGTACTAACAGTCCCAACAGTCCCACGTGCTGTTAAATCACAGCTATTTTACTTTTAGAATGCTACATTTTAAAGCTCATATTTAAAATAAAATGCTCCAGATATGTGTGACACATATCTGGAGCATTTTGTTTAGTTTTGTACAGGTTGCACGTTATTGTTGTTTTGAAAAGATATGCAGTGTAAAACTCAGTAAAACTCTTTATTGCCAAATATTTGAACTTGTTTTGTTTAGTTTTTCACAGGTTGCACTTTATTGTTATTATCTTAGAAAGATATTCAGTGCAAAACAGGTGAATTGCAGCCACAATAAGCTATTTTTTGTGGGCGGTGGGGCATGAACATTTTTCTTCCTCCAAAGTGGGGCGTGACAGAAAAAGTTTGAGAACCACTGGGTTAGGGTAAGGGGCTAGGGAATGCATTATGTCAATGAGTGTCCTCACAAAGAAGTACAAGGTTGTATGTGTGTGCAATCTTGTACTTGCTACATAGTGAGGACCGAAACATGTTTGTACGACATTTTTGGAAAGTGATGACATTCTGGCAGGTCCTCACGTGTTTTTAAGTTCAGGTTAGGTTCAGGGCAATGTTTGGGGTTAGGCATTTAGCTGTGATGGTTAGGGTTAGGGGAAGGGGCTATGGAATGCATAATATCAGTGAGGGTCCTCACAAAGAAAGAAATACAGGGATGTGTGTGTGTGTGTGTGTACGTATATACCTCTCTGGTTATTGTTGGTGTGGTTTACAAGCAGGTTAGACTCAGGCTCTCTGGCCACACTCCCCCCAACGTACCAGTTGACATTTGGGTTCCAGCTGTTACTGTAGCCGCACAGGTGATGCTCCTCAAAATTACACTCTGGCAACAGCAAGAGCAAAGACAACCATTATTCCTTACTCAATCTTAAATATGTTGTATGAATAAATACAGTTTCACATCATGGCTGTACTGCCAAGGTGAGAAATCTCACTTGATATAACACACTGACCTATGCAGTAACCAGGAACAATGTGAATTTCAAAGATGGCCACGCTGTTACCCGTGCCACGTTCAGGTCGACCCTCCAGCAAAATCTGTGGAAGTGAAAAAGAGAACTTAGAAGTAAAAATCACATCAAGTTTCATATCACGATCATTGACATTCCTGTGGAGAATCATTCGAGGCACAGGAGTTGCAATTATATATATATATGATATAATTTGATTATTATTAGTAATGCATTAATGTGGAGACAGCACTTTATTGTTCTACTTGGTTTAGGTGGAGCTGAACTACTTTATTCTTCATATCTTTTGTATCTACAAAATGTATAAAATTTGAGTTGCTGTGAAGTAAATTGGAAAAGCTTTTGTATACAATGTGTACTTCAGTAGAGTACTTGAGTAAATTCAATTAGTCACATTCCACATTACATTACCTTTCTGTCAGATTAAATACCTCAGGTCATGTATTTGAGGGTGGGCAGTGGGTGAGGGTTAAGTAGAAGCCACAGTACACCCACCTACCAACCACCACTACACTGCTGACAGGTGATATATGCGTAGCATTTTGACATAATGCAGCTTCCCCTTGTTTTCCCCTTGACAGAATACCTGCATTTTAAGACCTAGGTGTTCTAGAAGAATGGAAAAAGCATGTCAGAGATATAAGGGTGTGTATAAACATGTGGGCATGGCCCAAGTGGCAACCTCCATGTCTGAAAAGTGAAGGCAATGCATAGGTGCCTTAAACCTGCATTCTCTCTACTAGGGGCGACTCCTCTGGTTGTAAAAATAAGTCAGATTGTATAGAAGTCTATGAGAAAATGACTCTACTTCTCTCTTGATTTATTACCTCAGTAAACATTGTAGACATGAGCGTGGTCATAATTGCTAGTTTCACGCTAGCTAGCATTAGCTGCTAATGGTACCTGGGCCTGCTGGGTCTCGCTCTTCCCCCGCTTTACCCTATTGTACAAATATGGTCACTTCTGGTTCCGAAGAACCAACATGGTGACAACCAAATTGCCACACACAAAGGCTTCGAAACAGTAGTCCACAAACCAATGGGTGACGTTACAGTGACTGCGTCCACTTCTTATATACAGTCTATGGCATGACTTGAATCATCTCCTGTACATCAAATCTCATCAGTCAGAAATGCTGATCTGCCATTACAAGTCTAGGGAACGAGTTCTGACTAACTTACAAACCAAATGAGTTCATATCTGCCAAAAGACAGATGACCCTTCCAGTCAGTGCCCTGGAGCACACTGGCCAGTAATGCAAGTAGGCCTCCTAATCCTAGAGCTATAAACGCTGGCAAACATTTAAAGGCTGACAGTTATCTTGAATTACTACTGCCATTCCATTACTTAAAGTACCAACATGATGTAGTTCTGTTTTCCCCTCATAACTCAGCATGGCATGTGGAACAACCTCACTGCCTCCATTACAGAGTTTGAAGTTAACACATTTTTTTTCCTTTCTCAGATTTCTGTATATTCACTTGAAGAATTGTTCTCAAACAAGACTGGATGGAGGCAAGTGCTCTTATTGACAGTAAGGAAGCTAGTTCAATTTAGAAAGAGGCTTAGATGACATCATTGCTTTTTTACAGTACTTGTGGGCCTTGGCCTCAAACTCACTCTGTATTTAAGGAGGGTCAGCTTTCTTTAAATTTAGATTTGCAGGCGATTTGTTATTTATATAACACATTTTTTTCTGCTTTCACACCACAAACCAACCACCTTCCTGGACCTTTGCCTGTGCTCAAATGAACAAGAGTGTCATGTGCTATATACTGTACACCCTCAACGAAAGGTGAACCCATCTTTGTCATGTTTCTTTTGTTGCTATCTGACTATATGGCTTCGACATGTGCTGTGGAACAGAGAGTCAGGCCTTCTCTTTTGCAAGCAAAGGTTTCATCCTGATTGTAGTTTGAGCACAAACCCCCAGCTCTGAAGAAATTCACATTAGGGTGTGAGTTTCCTCCCCCCAAAAAAACTGTGTTCCTGAAGTCACCTGAAAGCAGCGCTGCAATCTAATTGACCGAGAGCCAAGACACCCGAGGACCCCTGTGGTTCAGCCACTGTTCTACAAAACTACCTGCAACCCCCACCTCAATGCTTTTTCCATCGATCTCTCCGGGGTAGCAGGAGGCACACATGCAACGTTGTTCTTCTTTTTAACCAAATCCTAGGTTTAACAGTTTATATTCGCTGGCCGAATTCACCAAACTGTCTATTTTATCTTTGTTCGTATCCACGAAGCGAACCCTTTTATTCCTGCAGAAGTGAAGAAGCAAGACTTCTTCAGAGAGAGAGAGAGAACTTCCACTCTCCACCAAGCGCCTCGTTTTCTCCGGTCATAAGGACGCGAACGCCTCTTATCCAGACGAAGCGATTCTCTCCCACCGAGAGAACACCTCCCGCGGCCCGCAGCCACGCTGCCTGAGCCCACCAAAGCTCAGGACAACCCCTCAGAAGGACCCCCCTCAATCACCACGATTGCATCGTACCGTAAGGCGAAATAGAGTCTGGGCAGAGTTAGAGAGTTCATTTGTGTTTATTTTATCTTGTTTGTGTGCTTAAAGTACTGTTCATTTTTATAACGTGGTGTATGCTTAATAATCGCCGACACTAACGGTCGCTGAGATCGTTGGGGTTGTGGAGAAGCTAGTGTATTTCATGCTACCGTGATCTGTGTTGAGCTAGCCGCCTAGTGAGGTCGAAGTTGCTTCTCATCAGTTCAGGAGGTCAGAACCGCCGGCTGAGACAAAGAGTCGCGGTTCTTGCTCCCCTGGCTGAGAGAGCAATCTTCCGTACTCCCGCGCGGCGCAGAGGATCTTAATCTTTTGTTTTATTTCATTTTGTTTTGTTCCTTTCCCTTCTCTCTTACTAACACACACACACATATAGCTTTGAGCTAATGTAGCTACGTGCTAAACGGCTACCGGCACTAGACGCCGGGTCTCCTGTTGGCTATCCGCCATTTTGAGTCTCGCGCATGAGAGACGTCACCACGTCCCAACTACGTCATACGTCGTTGAGCTGTTCCCTCGCTCCTCCCCCTTACGCACACACACACACACACACTCCCCCCTCTTTTCAATCGTCTGTTGATTTTAGATAGCGTGCTCATGAATGTATAGTTGTTGTTAGTTTAGATATTAGTTGACTAGATCATTAGTATTAGAACGTAATAAACTTATATTTTAAAGAGCAGCTGTCTGTGATTACTTTGTGCATGTATTGTGATGATAGCTGTATATGTGGTCTGTGCTCGAACTTAAACCTTCACTTTCACTCTGAATGTGTAATAGTACTCAGACTGTTGACATTGTGAGTGAACACTAATTATGAGACTTAGTTTTATCGTTTGGTTATTGGTCCCTGTTCGCAGGGTGGTGCCCGGTTATTATTAATAATTATTAATAATTGTTACTGACATTAATAATTCTATTGATGTCAAGAATTTAGTTTCTTAGATGCTGATAACCCAAACACGCTCCTTTACGTTCCCAACATAATGGTACCCCCTTTTTGAGGCTATGTTATTCCCAACACTTTGATAAAATAGACAGTAGCAAAATCAATGTTCAATCTAACTAATAAAATAGAAACTATAACATAAGGGTTAGCATAAATTGTACACAAACATATGACATAATTCAGACACAGAGCAGTTTTGAACACCACTTTCCAAGATCTTCAGCACTTGTTTACTTCTTCCTGCTTTCTTACAGTGCAGACGCTTTGCTGCTTGCTCTTGCCTCTGCTTCCATTTTACTGCTAATATTCTTGTTTTTTCTCATTCATTTCTCATGTGGGAGGACGACTAACAGGCAGAGCCCAGCGCCCTGAAATTTGTGATGCGACTGGCTGACCTGCACTAGCACACAAGCAGAACTCCTCCTCAACCCCTGCACTCAGACGGACAAAGCCAAGGACAGCTGAGAAATGCAAAACCAGCAAGAAACCTCCACAACAACCAAGCCTACAACTTCAAAACAGATTTGCTCCATTATCGCAGGATCCTAAATCTCCATCTGATGACCTGGACAAGCAGCTATCTTCTCAAAGCAGGGTAAGAACTGAGAGTAAATGTGAGAGTAGAAGGCCGCAGGGAAAGCTAGTGACTGGGCCTGAGAGTCTGATTGTTGGTGACTATGCTGTAACAGATGTCAGAACATTGTGCAGCAAGACACTCTGCTTTCTGAAAGATATGGTCTCTAACATGAGAGACAAAATCCTGGACATCGTGGCTGACCATCCCACGGTGAAAAACATCATGGTGCATACAGGAAGCTGTGATATTGTGAAACAACAGTCTGAAGTGAGACTGAACAAATGGCTGTCAAGGAGTGCCAAGAGGAGGAGTCTCCAACCTCATCATCAATGACCGCCTCTGATCTCCCACTTTCTCCCCCTCTCCAAGAGGAGTCTTTACCTCCCTCACTAGCACCTACTTCCACCCCCCAGACTCCATCCAGGTCCCTTTCCTCTCTACTCACACGCAAAGTTAGAGTGCACTGCCCCTCCCCCACCTCCACTTCGGCTCCACAACCATCCTCTGACTCCCCTACCTGATAAAGGCAATAATTGATATCTTCTGGGTCCAGGCTACAAGGCTAATGGCACCAATGATTCTCTCCAGGAGACGTCGGGGCCCTGTATGCAGCTAGCCTTCTCAATTCCTGTCCTGATAGTTTATAGAAAAAGAAAGGTGAGGAAGCGAAGAAACAATAGTAAACCTGCAAACTTATCAAACTGAACTTATTCCTCGTCAGCCTGTCCAAATAAATTGGGCAAAGAAAGCTTTAACCACATTAAACTTAGCTTTATTAAATGTCAGGTCTCTGTCAGGAAAACCATTTTTAATCAATGACTTTATTGTTCGGCACAAACTGGACATTTTGTTTTTAACTGAAACATGGTTAAATCAAGATAACAGTGCAGCTGTTCTTATTGAATCAACACCTCACAACTTCAGTTTCATGAGTGAAACAAGAGCGCATAAGAAAGGAGGTGGAGTTGCTATTTTATTTAGTGATTCTCTTCATAAAGCAGATGTCCTTTGGTCATTTTAGTTCTTTTGAATATGTGGCTCTGAATTCCACTCAAGCTTTATTCCTAAACATTTACAGACCGCCTAAATACTGTGCAACCTTCTTTGATGAGTTTACTGAACTGCTGTCTATAATCTGTATTGATTTTGACTGTGTTGTTATTGTTGGTGATTTTAATATCCATGTTGATAATCCCCAGGACAGAGGGTCTATAGAACTATGTGGTGTCCTTGATAACTATGATCTGACTCAGCATGTGACAGGACCCACCCACAACAGGGGGCACACTCTGGACCTAATCATCACCAAAGGTCTAAACATTTCCAAGGTCGCTGTGACTGATGTTGCACTCTCTGATCATTTCTGTGTTTTCTTTGAGAGTGCAATCTCCTTGCACACAAATGTCCAAAACGAGGTTGTGACAAAGCGTTACATCTCTGACAACACCAGTTCACTATTTATTCAGAAGTTCTCCTCCTCACCAGCACTCTCTTGCATCTCAGTCAATGAGCTTGTAGATGGCTTCAATTCTAAAGTTATAAATATTATTGATGTCATTGCACCCACTAAAGTGAAGATTGTCTTGGGTAAGCAAAGACCTCCTTGGAGAAATGCTACGCTGGTCAAAATAGAGAAACAAGACTGTTGGAAAGCTGAGCGCAGGTGGTGAAAAACAAATCTCCAGGTTCACTGTGAAGACTGATTGAAGATTGAAGACTTTTCTGTTTGCTGCTGCCTTTAATTGAACCAGATTCAAGGATATTAATCAATTTCCTGCATTTTACTACTGTATTCTATTTATTACACTGCTTGTTTTTAATGTTTCAATGAATGTTCTTAATTGTTTTTAAATCTCCTTTACTTTTGCCTTATGTTTTGATGCTTTAAATGGTTTTATATGAAGCACTTTGAATTGCCTTGTTGTTGAAATGTGCTATACAAATAAACTTGCCTTGTGGTAGAATTATTGTCATGGCAACAGGTGCACTGATCAAAACTATATCTGATATTTAAAATTCTGATATGCAATAGGGCAACAAATTCAACCAAACAGGGACCACTTTGATCGTGGTCTTTACAGCCATTCCTACCTGGTAAGGGGTTGTGGTGTTTGGTAGGTCCACACTAGCAATGAGCCAGCTGTCAGAGGCTCTGTTGGCAGTCCACAATCGGTAGTCAAAGTTATCCCCATCTGGTCTGAGGTGGAGCTGCAGGGAACCCCCTCCAGTGATCTGGTACACCATCCTCACGCAGCTCCAGTCCTGCTGGTCGAGAAGTGGACTGACAAGAACCGCCTGCTCCTGGTCGTTTAAGACGGCTGAGTCCACTGTTATCAAATGCCCTATGACAACATCACCAAAATATGTCATATTAATGTACAGTACATATCTTTATTTATGGGCGGAGACCTGTTGTGGTTGCAGATATGATTTTTGACTTATTAATGTATCATCTGGTGGTAATATGTAAAAATAACGAAGGTGATCGTATTTATATTCATATTTTGTTCAAGTCTAGGGAACTTTGCCATTGTTTTTTTGTTGATCAGAAATGTTCTGTTATTTTAGCAGATTAAAACGTGCCAGAAAACTGAGGATTTTGACAGGAACATGAGGGAAATGCAAAACAATTTTCAACAGAGGATACAAAAAATTTGTCCTATATGATGCCACCACTAACATAAAAGACAGATCAATAGACCTACAGTGAAATCAAATGACCGTGTAATATTTACAATAGTAACAAAACATTGGCATACACTTGAATCTGATTGTCAACTTAATGATGTATTCAAAGAACAATATTTCGTGGTATGTAAAATAGGTTAAAAACCTGCGACTGCCTGGTCCACTCATATTTAAACTTGGCTCAATCAGCACCAGCTCAATCTACTTTAGCACCTATCCCTGAGGGCAACCACCACTGTGGTTGCTGCAGTCAGTGTATTTATAATTACCACTGTGACAGCTTTATACATCCCCACACAGGTAAAGAGATACCTATAAAGGAATTATTTCTTTTTTTTTTTTTACTAATTTCACTAAGTCGGTCATTTATCTTATCACTGTCACAGTTCAGCTCCACACTGCTGTACCTACAAGTTTGTAATAAAAGCCAACGATCCCTGGAAACTTGTGTTTGCATATACAACCCGTTACATTACAATCTGGCCATTCATGGACCCAGCACACACCCCTGCACCATGGAGCCGTTTCGAGAGGATCGAGGGGGCTCTCCAGCAGCATGAGGCGCTGATGACCCACATCGCCGCTGAGACACGTCAGTCAGCAGCAGCCCAGGAGCAGGCTTTGGCTGCATTAGCTGCTCAGGTCCAACAGCTAACAGCAGGCCTGACCCAGCATGCAGTCTCACCTCCTCCTCCTGTCCCTCTGACGCCCGCTCCAGCACACGAGCCCCGTGTGGGAACCCCAGAGCGCTATGCTGGAGAACCTGAGGACTGCAACCCATTCATCACAAACTGCTCCATCTTGTTTTCCCTGCAGCCCTACATGTTTGCCTTGGAGGAGGCTAAGGTAGCCTTCACTATCAACCACCTGACAGGCAGGGCACGAATGTGGGGCACCACTGAATGGGAGAGGCGCACGCCAGCCTGCTCTTCCTTTCTGGCTTTTTCTGCGGAGCTACGCAAGGTGTTCGGGGCGGTCTCCAAGGGCCCTGATCCTACTGGGGGACTTATGGATCTGCGTCAGGGAGACTGGACAGTTGCAGACTATGCCATTGAGTTTCGCACGAGAGCAGGCCTTAGCGACTGGAACTCTGCAGCACAGTGTGACGCATTTTTGACTGGGCTAGCTGAGTATATTAAAGATGAACTGATTTCTTTTAATTTGCCTGCGACCTGGATGGCTTAGGTGAACTGACTTCCCGAGTGGACAGACGCATCCAGGCAAGGCGACAGGAGCGACGCAAGGGGGAGACGGATCGCTGCTCTTCCAACCGGCCCTCGAGGTCCTCCAGCAGCTACCAGTGTCACCCCAGGGCCTCAACCTGGGGGCGTTGAACCCATGCACCCATGGGGTGCCCATGCACCCATGGGGTGCACCAGTCTCATTCCAGAGGAGCGTGAGCGCCGCCGCCGGGGAAATCTCTGCCTGTACTGTGGCCAGGCTGGTCACTTTATATCCCGGTGGCCAGCGAAAGGCACGGCTCATCAGTAGTGGGGGAGGTACTGATGAGCCAAACCACAAGACTCTCGCCCAACCAAAGACCCCTGTGCCATGTTTAGCTTCTGCTCGCGAATGGATCCCAGACCCTCACTACTTTCATTGACTCTGGCGCTGACGACAGCATCATTGATGAGGACCTAGCCCTTCAGCTGGATATAGACCAGGTACCCCTGCCATGCCCTGTTCCTGCCAGCGCCCCGGATGGTCACTTACTGGGGACAGTGACTCACCAGACCACACCAGTCCATATGCTCCTGTCTGGTAACCACCATGAGACCATCCGGTTTCTTATCCTGCGGTCATCCCAGCATCCATTAATTCTGGGGTACCCCTGGCTCCGCTGCTATAACCCCCACATAGACTGGGCAACAGGAGCCATCCTGGGTTGGAGCTCATCCTGTCACCTAATTTGCCTGAAACAAGCTCCTGCACCCCAGCAGTCAGACTGTTCCAGCTCTGCTTCAGACCTGCCAGGGGTGCCTACTGAATACCATGGCTATCGGGAGGTATTCAGTAAGGCCAAGGCCTCATCTCTGCCTCCACATCGCCCCTACGATTGTGCCATTGACCTGCAACCAGGTACCACTCCACCCAGGGGTCGCCTGTATTCCTTATCTGCACCTGAAAGAGAGGCCATGGAGGCATACATAAATTCCTCTCTAGCTGCTGGGATCATCCGTCCCTCTTCTTCACCTGTTGGTTCTCTTCTTCGTGAGGAAGGACAAGTAACTGAGGCCTTGCATTGACTGCAGGGGCCTCAACGACATTACCATTAAGAACCGCTACCCACTCCTACTCATCTCTTCTGCTTTTGAGTTGCTGCGGGGAGCTAACATCTTCACCAAGCTAGACCTGCGCAACGCCTATCACTTGGTCCGGATCCGAGAGGGTGACGAGTGGAAGACGGCTTTCAAAATCCCCACTGGACATTACGAGTACCTGGTTATGCCCTTAGGCCTCACCAATGCCCCAGCCGTCTTCCAGGCCCTGGTGAATGATGTGCTGAGAGACATGTTAAACAAGCAGGTGTTCGTCTACCTGGACGACATTCTGATTTTCTCCAGGTCCCGAGAGGAGCACATTCACCATGTCAAAGCAGTCCTTCAACGCCTCCTTAAGAATTCTCTGTTCGTTAAGGCAGAGAAGTGTGAATTCCACTCCTGTCCCGCCAGTTTGTAAATAAGGGGGATTCCACCCCTGGCAATGACAATATCCTTTCTGCCCCCGTCTTGGTTGCTTCAATCGCCTGGGAGGTAGAGGAGAGAGTCAAGGCCGCCCTGGAGGACCAGCCCGGTCCTAGCACCTGCCCTCCTGACCGCCTGTTTGTCCCTCAGACCCTGAGGTTCGATGTCCTCCAGTGGGCCCACTGCTCCAGACTCACTTGCCACCCAGGGAGCCAGCGGACTAGGGATGCTCTGCAACAGAGGTTCTGGTGGGCTACTCTGGAGAAAGACACCCAGGAGTTTGTCAATGCCTGTCCTGTCTGCAATCAGCACAAGCCATCCCACCATGCTCCCGCTGGTTTCCTGCAACCTCTGCCCCATCGGCCCTGGTCCCACATCTCCTTGGACTTTGTTACCAGTCTACCACTGTCCAACAAACATACCACCATCCTGACAGTGGTAGATTGGTTCAGCAAGATGGCCCACTTTGTGCCCTTGCCCAAGCTCTGCTCGGCCAAAGAGACTGGTGTGGCTATCGACCCGGGACCTACCCTTGCGGGTAGAGTCTAAGAAGTTGGCACCCAGGTTCATTGGGCCATTCGAGATCCAGAAGGTCATCAATCCTGCAGCAGTGAGGCTCAAGCTGCCCCGGACCATGCGGGTCCACCCGTCATTGCACGTCTCAAAGGTGAAGCCGGTTCGAGAGTGCCCACTGGTTCCTGCTGCACAGCCTCAGCCGCCACCTCGATTCATCGATGGAGGTCACAAACCTCCCCAGTGTGTGCTGAAGGTTACGGTCTGATGGAGCCAACAGAGTCACATCATCTGCAAAGAGCAGAGATGCAATTCTGAGGTCCCCAAACCGGACCCCCACCAAGTCCAGCCAAGCCCTGCTTTCCCCTTCTGAGTCATCAATGGTTTGCCAAAACTTCCTTGAGGCCAAGCGAAAGTCCTTTTCCATGCTCTCCGTGAACTCCTCCAACACCCGCCTCAGCTACAGCCCTTCAGGCCAACCGGTACCCGTCTGAGCAGTACATTTCGTTGAATTCAGTCATCCTATTTCCTCTCTCACATATATTGGTTTTGAGAAGTGTCACATCCTGCAAAAGGAGTGAATTTAGATGTTTTACTTTTGGATCCACCACCTTAGAACTTGGTCACATCATGGCTTGAATATAGATTATGACCTAATAGGTTTTCTGTAATGTACTAAATCTACTTTTTTGAATATTTAGATATACATATTTGTGTATTTTTTTGTCATCAAAATTAAAGAAATGCAAATGTTCGACACTTTTTTCCAACTTTCAGGTGATCAGGAACATAATGGCCATCTGTACTTCATGGCATATCAAAATCAGCTTCATCAGAAAGAGTCAGCTTTGACAGACAGAGGTGTCCCACTGTTGAAATGATGTATAGAAAGTAGTTATACATGTAAAATGTTATGTTATGGAAGCAAAATAGCCCAAAATCTTGCATGAAAAACAATGTTTTTTGCCTGGGCTGTCACATCAAGGATAAAAAATGGTAAGGTTAAGTGTCAAATACTGTATATAATAGATCACACAGCTTTGAGGTTGTGTATTACTTGGTGCCATATTATAAACTAGAGAGAGACAATGATGTATGTTCTGAAACAGATTGGTAATGACTGGAACCTTGAAATCCATCTTCCCTTTGTGTCACAGCACAGTCTTTTTCACCCATTCACCCAGGTCTAAGAGAGCAGAGAGGCAGTTTAGTGGATATAAACAGTGTTTATGGAGAGCTGGTTTAAGCGCCATCACTTCTAAATCTGGTGGGGGTGTGGGGGGGATTTGCAGTTGTATCTGAGATCCCTTATTTGGTCAGATTAAATTCAACAAGAATCTTAGAGCAGGACAGGGCAGACACAGTCCAACATGTACTGATGCATCTTAAAGAGACATACCATTGGTTTCACATGTTTAAGTCAACTAGCTGCAAATCACATGCGCAGATAACTATTC